CAACGCCTGAGAGGCCTCGGATTGCTCTCGATTGAAGCAGCGCGGGCTAAGAAGATGGATGTACTAAGACTCACCGACGTGTTTGCCGAGGCTAAAGCAAGAAAAATGTCATTTTGAATGCTTGGACGCCAATGCAGTGCATCAGATTTATGTCTTCCTCTTTTCCCCTATTCTTATCTGGAAAAATTCTTCCAATGTATACATGCGTCAATATCAGATTGTTTCATTAATACAGTGAGTAGCAAACCTGTTATGAGAAGATGAGTTTTTTTTATTGGGGGGGGGGGGCCAGAATTAGGTTTTGCGGGGGGCCCAAGATTTCTTGCTACGCCACTGCTACGCTGGCCGTCAAATGGTAGGTAATTTGAAAATGTTTACATAGATATAAAGCAGTTTGGTTCAAACCAAATATTAAACATTTTGAAATAAACCTCTAGAAGTTCGAAAGTGCCCAGCTAATTTTATTATCATCGAGATCACACCTCACAAGTAAACCACGAATGAAGGAATGAATCATGGACGGGAAAGATCATTTCAAATTCGAAAAGCGACAAATGAGGAAAAATCACCACAGCTTTCGGCCTCTTTCAATTAAAGTATTAGAAGATAGAGAAGACCCCTCGAATGCAATGGCAGTTACGGGATTCCCGGAAGTCTGGGGTGTTGGCTTCAAGTTCCGTTTCAGTTTATTGCTAACGCGAGAAAGTTGAATTCTTAGACACGAAATGCTGAAACCTCCCTTAGTTAACAGTCCTTTAACTATTTAACCCTACTTTTAAATTAGCCCTAAACACTAAAATTTAGGGGGGGGGAGGGGGGAACTTGAGCAATGTGTGCCACGTGAAAAAACCTACACTGTTTCCGGATTGAATTCGTACCACCCCCCTATAGTGGAGAATGAAGAAAACACACATTTCCAGAGGTTTCGCCTCAGCAGGTGAAAGATAAAACCACCCATGTGAAAGATGTCACTACCTGCAATCGATGGAAGCGCTCCTATAGGGGGGTGGTACGAATTCGATCCGGAAACAGTGTAGGCTTTGAGAGCGTGTTGCTGGACGAAACCATCCCGGTCTCTCGGGGATCTGGTATTTCAGGGTGGTTACAGATCACTTGGGATTAGATGGGACTATAGGGTGAGTGGATTTTATATGCCGTGAAGTATCAGGGTTGCATTATCGGTTTCATTCGGAGAGGGAAGAAAAAGCGGTGAAACAGCAAGCCCAGGCCGTCCTCATTCATGCGGTCTTGCACTCGTGCAAGTTCATGAGAAAATATTGAGCCACGGTTGCCTCTGGCGAAGGCTTATAAATAAGGACAACCGGAGAGGGGGAAAAGCGTAGCGCAATTGAACCTTACTAAGTACAACGAAACGAAGATGGTCTGACCAACCCTTCGTTGCACGTCACCTTTGACACGTGAAAGAGTCTCCAGATCTGATTAGCTGGTAACCCCAGCGTACAGAGGGGGGGGGGGGGGGAAATCGGGGACAATCTGCCCCGCGCCTCGCTTATCAAGGGGCCCTCCAATGAGATCCAATGCCAAGGTCCCAAAAGAGCCCATCCAGCCTTCCCCACCCATACAGTGGCCTACAAGGGGCCTCTGGAAACCTCGGGGTTCGGAAAAAAGCCACCCGGAAAAAAAAGACCCCCAGAATTGACAAAAGCGGAAAAAAGCCACCCGAGATGAAAATGCGAAAAAGCCACCCAGGTCATTGCTTAATAATTTCTCATTTATATATATTTATACGTATCAGATACATGACATCAATATCACTAAATGTCGCAAAGATGAATGAGTCTTTAATCTGACCTGAACATAACTGGATGGCACTTTTCTGCCTTTGCCTAATCTGGGGGTCTTATTTCCGGGTGGCTTTTTTCCTAAAACCGGAAACCTCTGGGCGGAACCCATCCGTTTGTCTACTTGTCCCAACAGCATCCAATGAAAGTTTCAATCTGTCCTCTTGTCAACTGTCGATCTGATGTAAGATTTTGCATTTCAAAGGCTCAGAAATAACAGGCCACATACCCTAAAAAGTTTCTAACATCCTATTTTTTCAACAACCGTGGATCTCAATGTGGCAGCCTCCTGTTTACTCTGGAGCGCTGTGCATGCTTCGTGCCTTCTATGCGTCCTTTTGTTTCATGGAAGGGTTTAGTTCTCCACGTTGCACGTCAGGGAACTCATAAGACGACTGTTGTTTACTTCCTGCGTTTAAAATTGAAAAAATTCCAGATTGGTGATAGGAGGGACGTGTTTGAAATAGCAGTGATAGGCTCTTCAAAGCATTTTTTTTTTATGATACTACTTTGTTTTATCAACGGGAATGCTGTCTTCTTACCCTGAATGAGAGGGTTTGGTAGTGCCTGTATTACGCCGAACTGTTTAGGTACTGAGCTGCTTAGCTACATTTGCTTCTCTGGTGGGAATACAATTTAGTTCAGAACTTTGGCCCATAGGCCATTTGAAGTGACTATTTGAAGGGAAGTAGGCTAGGTCTAAGCCTACTTGAGCCGACCGCTGCTATGAACTATTCCTCTTCAGTTGAACTCTTTGAACAATACCTATCTTGTTGAGGACAGGAGTAGCAATCATTATTTCTTCACCAATGTTTATCTTGAATCTTGGCTCAAATCATCTTTGTTATTGGATTGGAATTTCAGGAAATTATGATGGGTAGTTGTCCTTGAGAAAAATTATGCATGCATAGGTTTAGGATGGCAGTGGTATAGGCCTAAGTAATTTTCTTTTTTTAAATTTGGCCTTGAAAGTGATACCTTAATCAATTAGTTTGATGTGATGAGAAGTTCAGTACCATAAAGTGCTGAGGGAGTTGACTGCTTGACATTACATGCAGTGCAATTGTCTGCATTTCTCATAGACCAACTTATAGTAAACTTTTGGTTTAAGCTTTGTGGACTTATATCTTGTTTAAATTGATTCCAGATGCAAGTTGATGTATTTATTTCATGTCAGTAATTTGAGTCTTCAGCCTCTGTGCAACCTTGGCACAGCATGGGGAAGGTCAGAGGGAAAAGGTATGGTGAACTCTTTATCCATTACTTAGGTTCCATGCAATTTGCCTATAGTTGGACATAATCACTAAGAAGTGGAGTTCAGCATGTCCAAACAAAAGTTGCCTCTATTATGGTATATGATTCTGCATTTCTTTCTGGATCATTGCTCTAGGCAAAGGTTGTATTGAACAAATCACAAATTAAATTGCATATACTTAGCAGAGAGGGTTTTGAAGTTTCTGTTTTAAAAATTGCATCACAAAGGTCTATTGTGATTGTGAGGTGCCCTGTAGGAGACTTAATGATATTTCTAAATATTGATTATAGGTCAAGAGGTAGGGATGGAGGAAAAAAGGTGCTTGTGACATCTGATGATGATGAAGCTGTGGACACAACATCTCAAGGATTCTTTCATGATGAAGTTGATGAATTTGTTTCCAATAAGGAAAAGATCCTTCTTGATGGGGCTTCAGATATCGATGAAGGGCACAAGACCTGGGAAGATGACGATGTATGTTTCCTTTCCTGTGGTCTCTTGCCTCTTTTCAATTGTATTCTGGAGACCTCCTGGGTTTGATATTGCCTTTCCTTTCCTGGCCTCAAGCACAAATGAGAATAGAAAGCAGCCAGTAAAACTTGTTCAGATGCATCATCAGATGATTGGTTTCCATAGTTGAAGCCTGTTTTGATATTCATCAGATATAACCTTTACATTTTGGAAAAATTTTTTTAGCAAGATACAGGTGATTAGTTTTTCATACCCAAGTCCTTGCTTTGAAGAATGTTTTACTTTTTCCAGGAAGCACTCTATGAGTTGGATCTACCCACATCATCATCAGAAGGAGAAGAAGAGGCATTAACAGATGAAGGCGGGGATGAGTCAGACGATGAAGAGGGACATGGAGGAGACAAAGGAAAAGACGACAATGATGAAGACTTGGAAAGTGTTTCAGATAGTGAAGAAGATGATGATGATGAAGAAGCAGGTCTCCCAAGTCGTTTAGCATGGGGGAAGCAAGTTCGAGCATACCGTGGAACTGACTTTGTTGACAAGGATACCAAAGGTTTGTGTATTCTCAATGCTGATGTTTGCTGCAAATTTATTTTTCCCTTTCATATTTTTGTTAGGTTATATTCAAAAACTTCCTTCTCTGAAAGTAATTCACTTAAGATGCTTTTTGAAGCATGAAGGTAATGGTTGGACACCCTTTAGCATTTAGGAATAATTTGAACGGTAAAACTAGGTTTTTTCAATGTCCTCTGAATCTAATGAAAGATGTAGCTACAATCCCACATGATCTACTTAGATTGTGTGAAGCAAATACTTTTCCCTACTTTTTTTGCCTACTTAAAGGATGCTTTGGTTGCCAATGGTTCATGATGGCGTATGGCACCCCTTGATGAGAATTCAAGCACTCTATTCTCCTGACCAATTTTCAGTAAATTTTCTCATTTGGAAACAAAGATTCCAAGTATGCCAGTGCAAATAAATGCCAGAACTCTAAAATACTCCATACAAAACAGTAGGAATCATGCAGGATCATGGCTGCAACAGGAAGAATGTGAGACTTAGGTATATGGGGATGAAAAAGTGGGAATAGTTAGAGATGTTTTAATTGCCTTAAAGTGATGGAAGTAGAAAAAAGATTAAATTACTGTCCAGTCACTTGGGAAGGATGTTAAGGAAAATTTCCCTGGTATGCTATGGGGAAAGAGATCTTGTATTTAAATTTTTGTTTTGGGAAGTAGTCCTCCAAAAGAGCTGAAAAACCTAGAAAAAGGAAGGGAAACTGAATTCCCATTTATCTTGGAAACCTCCAGGAGCATTTAAAGGAGAGGAGGAAGAGCTTGCAGCCCTTGAGGAGCAGGAAGCAATAGCCCTACGCAAGAAACATGCTGCTACCCTCTTGCTTGATGACTTTGACATCCTTTCAAAGGTATCCCTTCTCTTCTTTATTCCTTTCTTTCTTTCTTTTCTCATTGAGAGCATATGTTCATATTGTGCTTTTCACAAATCATTTGTGGATTTAATGAAGTCACCTTGCCATTCAACAAAAAACAGTTTTTTTCTGAATTAAATAAACCTCACATGCTGACATCACTTGATCACAACCTTCACTTACTAGATGAACTTACTCTCATTCTATCCATCATTCTTTAACTTTCATCCATTTTGAATTTTAAAAAAATTTCTGGATTCATGCTGTTTTAGTGTTGTCCTTGATATTGATTAGTTAGCATTGTAGCTGATGGTTTCTTATTGTCTCTCTTCATCCACATTGAAAACAGAGAAAGCAGGAGAAAGAGAAAGAGAAGGATGAAAAGGAAGTGGAGCATGTGAGGAAGGACTTGTCTCAGATGACAGAAGGTGAAAGGTTGCAGTTGTTGAGGGCCCAGGCTCCAGATCTTCTCTCGCATCTCTCCACATTTAAAGGTGATGTGCTTGTTTTCCCAAAAAAGTATGGCCACATGTTGAGATTCCTGGTAAACCCTGCTAAATAGTGAGGCATTGAATTCTTCAAGATTTGGATGACTGTATATCACAATTGCAATAACTTAACTGTACTGGAACCTTAGTCTACCTGTGGAAGGGCTTCTTTTATTATTCAACTTTAACTCATTTAGTGCTAATTAATTTTTCAATTGCACCATCCTATAATGTAATTTTTGCAGGAACTCCATCAGATTTTTTCCAATTGCTTTTATACTAATAACTTGATACTTTTATGTTTGTGAATAGAATATCTGCTGATGCTACAGCATCTCTTGGAGAAAGAGGGCCATCAGGGGTTGACTCCTAAGGAGGACCTGGAGAAGACCATCTTGTACAGGTGATGGCCATATCATGCTTTGATCCTTTGCAGCATTGTGGGCTCTGCAAATACTTTGTCAATGGCAGCCACTGCATTCACTTTTTCACCCCTGTGGTCAAAGATTCGAAGGTGTTTAGTAAATATTCTCAGGGCTGATGCTTTCCAGATTTTGCAATGATGATTTTGACTGTAAGCAAATAGCAAATCCATTCCCTGAGGGAATTGAGCCTGTTTAGACCTTGCTAATCTGCCAGAATTTAGCTTAGAGTTAGAGAGAGAGAGAGAGAGAGAGACACTCCTGCTCTCTTTTCTGTCACAGGCCATGCACTGATTTTTTATTTATTTAAATTTTGTACTCATATGACATATGCAGCTAGTTCTGTTTTGACTACAAGATGTATTGTGTTCTTAGGAAAAGGTATTATGCTAGGCAGTTTTCTAGGTATTTTGTTGCTGGTTTTATTGAGCTTGTACTCAACAGAGTATATTTTAAATGTTACCTCCAATTGAGTCATGGTTTCCTGTGAATGTGTCTAATATCTCATCGAAGCCATCTCCCTGTTGGTCCATGTACAAGGTCTTGATCTTGTCTAGTCATTCTTAAAAATCTTGCAAAATACATACCTGCTGTGGTCCTAGCCATTTTTTAAAAAGTAGTTCTTGTGTTTGTTCTCCACAGTTACTGCATGAATGCATGCTTCCTCATCTCACTGCAATCAGAGGGGAGAGTCTCGGTCCAAACCCATCCTGTCATGAAGAGACTCCAATGGTTCCATTCTGCTCTTCAAAAGATTCACCGTCCTCCCCACCTGTCCACATCTAGGTTCTCCACATATCTTGCCACTACTATTCCTTCATTCATTTTCCCTTTTCCACAACCATTTTATTATTTATTTAATTGATTTTTATTTTTCACTAATATTGATGATTAATCGATAGATATTATACATGTGTCATATACACTCTGCCCCAAAAAAATTTTGGAACCTTTTTCAATTTTTAGGCACTCATAATTGATTCAGGCTATTGCTGTGTGCCTTTGTGGGCTGACCAATGCATCAAATGAGCACATGCATGCAAAGTTTTAACAACATCCATTTGCTGGTTCTTGGAATACTAGTGGGTTTTCAGAGCATGCCAGCAGTAAAGGAATGCCGCCAGAACTGTACAGATGCATTAGTCCAAATTCAGTATTGTGCCTCAAACAGGATGGCTGACATGATGTGCATGACCAAGATAACTGCATTACTTTAATCTATAAATACTGTAATCCTTCCTGTTTGACACTCAGATGAAGTGCTCAAAGTGCCTGCTGTGTTATCCTGTGAACATGCACATGACATTGATCAGCACCTAACTGCTGCTCTGTTTGCATTCTCCTGCGATAGGGGAACAGTGAATTCCCTCTCTGGCTGGCTGTGCTCGTGCCAAGTGTGGTCGACGACAATGGTCTACTGCAACCTTACTTAGAATTAGCTGCTGCATCTCTGAAATGAATCAATGGATTTTGATACAACTTTGTGTGCATGTGCTCATTTGATGTATTGACTCTCAAAAGCGCATAGCATTAGTCTGAACTAATTATGATAAGCTAAAAATTAAAAAAGGTTCCAAAATTTTTTTTGGGACCCAGTGTATATATCAGGTGGCAAAAAAAAGCATCCTGTGTGACGCTATATGCAATTCACTGTGGATGATCTAGGTTTGTTGTGCTTGTGTATCACATTGGAAGTGCCATAAAATTTGTTTTCTGAAAGTTTCATATACCTAGGTTGTCAGAATAAAAATTGACAGTGGTTCAAAGTGGAGTCATAAAATGTACCTTTTTTTGTGCATGAGCCAGATGGAGTTTCAGCACTATTCGAATGATGTTCCTCCCTTGACACCATAAACGCATATTTTAATGCCAGCTTTCATCATAGTATTCTGTGTAGTATCGATTCTAATGCTATGATTTACAATAGTAGTACTATTCTATGACGTGTAGAAAACTACGACAATGACATGGCATAAAAAGCTGTCTTAATGGCTTCAAGTGAGAAAAATCATTCAAGCAGTGCTGAAACTCCATCCACCTCACGCATGGAAAAATTTTATGACACACTTTGAACAACTGTCAATTTTTATTCTGACAACCAAGTTACATGAAACTTTCAGAAAACAAATTTTGTAGTGATTCGAATGTGATACAAAAATATCACGAACCTAGATCATCCACAGCGGGTTTTATAAAGCTTCAAACAAGACGCTTTTCTGTGCACCACCTGATGTATAGTATTCTTCAAAGCTTATTGAAACCTGTGCTGACTTTTGTCATTACTGAACATACCCCTTTGAAATTCAGGATCCATGTACCTTGTTAAGTTGCAGTCAATTTTGTCTGTGAGAATGTTCTACATTGCACGAATTAATTTTATTACATTTAAGAGGTGTTTGTGGCGCCAACTAAAATGCTCCATAATCATAGCACATGAAGTGGTTCAGGTAAATTGAATCCTACTCAAGAAGATATTAGAAAGGAATACATGTGCACCTTTATAAGGTAACTATCGTGGAGACTTTTAAGAAAATGGAGACACGGTTTTGAGAGGAGGATGTTTGCATTTGAGGAAAGACTGTCCCAAATAAAATAAAACTATAATATGAACCATATATCTGATGCAGGAGAAGAAAGAAGAGGCAGAAGGTAGAGTTTTCTGATACTCTGGAGATGGAAGAAGTTGAAGAACCTTTGCGAAAGGAAGCCAGAACCACTGGGGAGGTGGACATGGGAGATGAGAAGCGAGCCATAACCTATGAGATTGCCAAAAACAAAGGACTCACTCCACATAAGAAGAAGGAGCTGCGAAACCCACGCGTGAAGCATCGTATGAAATTCCGTAGGGCCAAGATCCGCCGCCGAGGACAGGTCCGTTATACCTCTCTTTTTTTTTTTTTAAGGCTGGATCTCATTCATATTTGAACATGAAACCATTTTTAAGTGGTGTTTTCTACTGTTCCTAGGTTCGGGAACCAAGGCTGGAACTCCAACGCTATGGAGGTGAGATCTCTGGCATTCGGGCGGGAGTCGTCAAGAGCGTCAAAATCAAGTGACCTTCGTGCCTGCCACATTGCAAATAAATGAGATTTTGCTGAAATTGTGGAGTTAGTTGGAACGTCATTGTCCTGTAAAACCCAGACTTTGCAATCAGGATAGAAGCAGAAAAGGCTGATGCCTAGTGGCAAGTGAATCCTCATTTTTCGACGAAGGTGCATTGACGGTAGAGAGTGGCAAGAGTGACCTTGGAAGCAGTGGTTTATAATCTTGATATGACTGAGAGCCACAATACACTCACCACTTTATACATGCATTCTCTAGCGCCAACACTAATTTTACACCACTGCTATTTTCACTTTACGTTTCTCTGCGAGCCACCCTTGAACTGCTCGGAAGCTGCAGTTTGGTCACCCCTCTTATTATTATACAGTACAGGGTGTCCCAAAAGTCCCTGTACAGCTTTGAAATTAAATTTAAAAATTAACCGTAAGAATTAGAACTAATTGTTTGTTGCATCATAAATTGCATCTCAAATTTTTTTTCAACATTAAACTACAGAAATGTACTCTCCGTGTGTTATGACCCCTCAGGACGAAATCTAATGGTCTGTCTGGTGAACGTGGAGACCATGGAATTGGACCACCTCGCCCGATTCACCTCTCCGGGAAATTTCTGTCGTGACATTCACGCACTGCCGAACTCCAGCGTCGCGACACTGGAGTTTGGCAGTTCCATGACCTCCACGTTCACCAGACATTACCCCATTGGGTTTCTTCCTGTGAGGTTATATGAACGACCAAGTATACCGTACAAAAGTGAACAACATTGAGGAGTCGAAGGACAGAATTCTCGATGCTATAAGGAATGTTGACGTGGACTTGTTACAGCGAACGTGGCAAGAAATTGGTTATCGCCTTCACGTTCTCCATGCAACACACATATTTCATATTTATGCATTCTAATATTATTAAATAAATAAATAAAAACTTTTGAGGCGCATTTTATGATGCAATAAACAGAATATTTCAAACTCTTACGGTTAATTTTTGAAATTCAACTTCACATTTTTGGGACACCCTGTATATCCGTTACCGAAGGGGCCTTCATTGTAGGCGCGGCATTGCTTCCCTATCTCGAAACGTCCTCATCGGGCACGGTTACTCCATGTTCAATTCTGATTTTTTTCCCCCCCAAGGTCATAGCTTCGTAAGTGACGAGATCCCTTGCATCTCCTCTCTAGATCGTAAACATTCTGCAGGAAATTTGACTCTAATAGCTTTGGTTTTACTAAAGGTACTTTCACCGAACCGAGTGCATGACTAAAGAATTTAGTCCCATTTGGAGCGGATGAACTCCGTCTATCTCCTCCGACACGAACGGAGAAAAAAAACCTGGAGAAACTTAGAGCAAACTCTCCTCATCGATACCCTTCCGTTCGTCGGTTTAGAATAAAAATGAAAAAAAGCAGAACGGCTGCAAGAAAAGGTTGAGACCAAAGAGCGAGTGTTTCTGGGTATTTCTGGCCCTCTGGACGGCCGACACCCGAGGGTGTCCGTTTTCCGTTTTCGGCTTCGATCATTTCTCGTGCTTTGGCACGATTTCGATCGAGTTGCACGAATCTCTGGAAAACGTGTCAGCCTTTGCGAATTTCGCGAGAAGATATCCTGGTTTAATGTCCTTTATTTGCCATGCGTGTTTTGCCCAATCACGAATCACCGCCATATCGCGTCTCCTTTTTTTGTTTATTTTTTTCTGCCATGTGACAAAAAGGAAAAGTGGAATCGGAGACGAGATCGAAAAATCGTCGCCCTTTTTCATATTTCCTTCGATCTGGTTTCTCTTCTCCGGTTCATTTCGGCTCGATCTGAAGGAAAAAGGAATTCCGATATATATTTTTTTGCAGGACGCCCTCGGTCCTCGAAAAGAACCGAAACGAAAATCGAAGGACACAATTCCCTCCCCGAAGAAACCAGGGTCGCTTCCCTTCCATTCGAGCATGATTAATGCCCACCGGAAGGACGAAAGGAGGTTCGAGGCTCGGGGCCTCGCGTCTCTTCGTGTCTCTTCGGGTCTCTTCGGGTCTGCCCTTTTGGCCTCCGCGACGGCGAGGCATTTCAAGGCTGGCTTGAACCTCCGAGGCGATTTCTGCCTTCGAAGCGCGCAGTTCCCGGGCGACTTTTACGTCTTTCGTGGTTCTCGAATCCGGCATCCAGGGAAGTTTCTCTCTCTTCCACTTCGTCCTAGTCGTTAATTTTATGTCGCGTCGGTCGACCTCGTTCGGCGAACGACCCGCAGGCGTCCGTCCGGACCGACACGAGGGGGTTTTCTCCCGGGAGACGAATTTCGTTCGAAGCGGAATTCGGTCTCCCCGACGGAACGAGATCTCCGACGCAAAATCCGAACGGAGAAATCGAGAAGAGACTCGGGAACGCGCCGCTTTTTGCCGCTTCGTCCTCGTCGCAGCATTCGCTTTCCGCGGAGTCACCCACTAAAATTCCTCTTCCGCCCCGCCGCGATCACGCCTCGTTTTCACCTCCCGTGACTCCTTGGGAATCCCGAAGTGGCTCAGACGGGGTCCATCGGGGTCCATCGGGGCCCATCCATCGGGGTTCATGGTCTCGTCCGTGCGTAGAACCTTCGTCCGATACCCTGTTCGGGTAACCTTCAACTTGAAAAAAGCTACTCGGATGATAATAACAAATGATGAGGGTCCGAGAGCCAGAATGCCAGGGGGGACAGAGAGAGAGAGAGAAAGAAAGAGAGAGGGGGCCAATAAAAAGCTTCTCCCTTGGCACTTCATACATTTCATTTTATCTAATATAAAAGTATGATTTTGTTGGATCGATGGTCGTGGAGCTCTATTACACCTACATCATCCCTACCGATGCCCTTGCCCCCCTCGTGCCCCCCCCGCCCCTCCTTCACCACCCTCCCCCCTTCACGCCCCCCCCGTGCCCTCCC